AATAGAATAGAATAGAATAGAATAGAATAGAATAGAATAGAATAGAATCAGAGGTGGGTTGGATAATCAAGATGGCGCCACCGTAGGAGAAGTGGTTCAGGGATGTGGCAGGCTGTGTCACTGCCGATTCCAGCGACCCAAACCACCAAGTTCCTACCAGTTCAGCCAAACCGGTCCGAACCGGTTTCATATAATTTTAAAATAATTTCATATATTTTAGCCTCCAGCCCCCTAGTCCTTCTGTGTTATGGTTTTAGTCTCTCCCTCTTTGTTCCCCATCGGAGCTCAGCATCGGAGTCGAAGCATCTGAGATGGGATTCATTTGCAGAGCCAGATAAATCACAGCATCCCCATTTTCCTGGTGGCAACATCATTTAGCCGGCTAAATCTGCTTCTTCTGAAGATTGTTTTCTTGTAAGCAGGCTAAGAAAGAGCGGAAAGGAGAAAGAAAGGAAGGGAAGAAAGGAGAAAGGGATATTTTGTCCTACTTCGTGTAAACAACTTTTCAAGCCGGGGGGGGGGAGAAACAGCTGGCAAATTGAACACGAAGAAAGGAAATCTGTTTCTTGCAGGGCGTTCTTTGAATGTTGACTGTGAAAACTTGTTAAAGTAGTGAAGTAAGACAGGAAGAACAGTGCGCATTTTAGAGAACTGCAGCGATTCAGCTACGCGCTTTAGTACTTCTCCATTTACTTATAATTTGGAATTTATTCATTCAGTTTTCTCTGCCGGACACCATGGTGTTTTATACATAATTTTGAGATCCATGGTGCTCATTACATGGGACGTTGTATGTAAAATTTGCTGTAAATCATTCGAATTTGCAGCCAATAAAACAATGTTTTCAACATAGAAAACTATACATGTTAAAGTACCCAACCACCATACATTAAAATCAACAGCAACATTCATCCATATTTGTATTAATCAGCCAAGAGGATATCAGAGCTTCCTTTTCTTGCTCCATTTTCAATAGGGAGCCATTATCTAAGCAATCCATTATTCCCTTCAATTTTTCCACTTCTATCCTATATTGCATTCTAATTCACACAGAATCTTACATAATGTAAGCCTGCAACATATATATTTTTCTCCCTGCTCCAGGAAGGTTCCCCATCCTCTCTCCTTACACAGTCAGTCCTTGTTTTACAATAATTCATTTAGTGACAATTCAAAGTTGTGACGGCACTGAAAAAAGTGACATGGCCACTTTTCACACTTATGATGCTTGGAGCATCTCCATATCCCCCCTAAGGAGCCAGCCCGCATAGCTTCACCCCGGTCTACCCAAGGTGAAGAGGAAACATGCCAGCAGTTTGGGGAGTGGCGTCAAGTTGGCCATGCCACCCAGTTGACCATGCCCCTCCCCCCAATCGGCCAGCCTCCCCCGACCCCCGACCCCAAAGTCAACCACAGTCCTGATGCGGCCCTCTCAATGAAATTGAGTTTAACACCCCTGCCTTAGAAAGAATGCAGA